GTAGTAGCTATTGTTCTCGATATTGGGACATGTGGGCATCGATCGTTGGGAGCAAGGAACGTCGGCATGTGCATGAAGGAGAAATAGAAGACGAACGAAGAAGACGTCCTAGAGGTAAAGTGATCGCAAGGGTGGAGGAGAGAGGCTGAAGATGGTCTTACTTGTCCAAGGCGTGTTGTCTATTGCTGCATGTCAGATGTCTCGGTTATGCTTGTCCAGGATGTGTTGTCCATGGCCGCAGGCCCATTCCAAACCCCCTTTTATATACTTTCATCTTAGATAGGTCTTACTACTTCATGTTGTGTCAATACGAGAGTGTGTAATGACGACTTACCAAAAATCATGTCTATACTTGCTATGACTAAAATGCCTAAAAATGTACTACTATTAAAGTGATGTACTACTAACAACACTAACATTGTCTACGAAATCCAAATTTCTCATAGTTAACTTATTCACTGAATTAAAACATCGCTGTAACACCATGCACACCATGCACGTAAAAAAAAACAAAATAGGTTTCTAATTTCTTTTTTTCTTTTCTTTTCTTCTCTTTTCTCTTTTTATTTGATTAGACGATAAAAATCACGACTAGAACTTGAGGGACAAAAACTTGAAATTAAAAAAGAAAAGAAAAGAAAAACACAATGAATAATTAAATTCTCAAAATTATGAACTTGCAATTTAACTAAAATATTTCATTCGATTAAATTGTATTCAACTTAAATCTAATTTACTCAAATTATATTTCAAGCCATAGATCAATTAATCCGATTGAAGCCAACTTAATCTCTCAATAGACAATAGTTTTGCTTGAAAATGCAGGTATTGCAATGGGTCTGTAATTTTATTGGCATTTTCAGAATATAGAACAATATTATAAATTTTAAGAACCTGAAAATAAAGGAATAAAATATTTTACACAATTATTCAGAACAATATGCATTGTAATGAGCGTGTGAACCAGGGCTTTGAAACAAAGGGTGGTGAGAGGAAAGAAATTTAATCATTTTGGAGAAACTTTTTCATGTGTCTCTTCTGATGCAAGTTTCCCCTGCATCCAACTCTGCAGCATTTCAAGTGCAGCCTTTGGCTGATCCATTGGCACCATATGACCAGCATTATGAACCTGTAGTAATACAAAACCATCACACATTTTCACATAATATGATACCAAAAAACTCCTCTACTCTAAGTTTCAACTATTTAACCCTTCCGCCTTGTGAATCAAATGAAATATTCGAGTTCGAGATCATATGAAGGGAGAAAAATGAATCATACGAAAGTCATTAATCTAGTACTTGTCTAACCCTACCGCCTCTTGAATCAATGAATTATTCGATTCGAGTTATGAGATCATATGAAAGGAGACAAATGAATCATATGAAAGTCATTAATCTAGTACTTGTAGCCCTTCCACCTCATGAATCAAATGAAATACTCGCGTTTGAGATCATATGAAAGGAGAAAAATGGTTGTCGAATGTTTGCTATTTTATATTTGGGAGAGAAAAAGACCTTTAGGAAAGCGAGAGGACCATGGGTTTTGAGAAGCCCAGCTTCTTTGCCATCAACTAGGAAGGGAACAATTTTGGATGCTGCAAATGCCTTCTGACCAGACCAATTCATTTCATTAACCCACCTTGAATTCCCTTCAAATTTCAACAAAAGTAACAAAATTCTTTCAGAAACGTTTTCTCAGGAAATAATGGGACTTCTAAAGAAGCAGGATTTCGGAATACGAAGATCGAAACTTACCGAGCCAATTGCATATCAGATCATATTCACCAGCATAGACCAGCACCTTTATTCCATCCTCAATGAGAGCTGGAATGCCAACCTCAAGATTTCTCATCCAATCCATAAGCATGGCACTGTACACCTTACTACTGCATGACACGAAATCCATATCCCCGACTCCGAGTGCATTCCTTACTGATTTTTCGTTAAGGAATTTCTCCATGTTTGAGAAGTCATAACAAAGATTTCCAATGCATTCCTTTCTAACATCATAGTACTGCATAACAAACACATGAAAGACATGATATCAGAGTTTTTAACATTAATGACATGATATCAGAATTGTATGAACTGAATACAATATGGTACTTCAATTTTATGATTTCATCATTTAGTTTGTTACTTACGTTTTTGTCTCCGATGACGTCCATGATTCTATTGAATATTTGGTTGCAGATGATGTAAGAAGATACACAAGCATTTCCACCATCAGCACCTGGTGGATTCATTACATTGTAAGGCAGAGCAAAGAGAAGTTACTCAGCCAAATCCTTTGACATCACGTATTTGAAAGAAACTTTTATGGATATTTAGTAAGTTACCACAAGTTTTGATTGCCTTCTCACAGCCTGGAACCAACTTGTTTATACTGTCGAAGTCAGATTTTCCAATCAATCCCATTTCCAAGGCATAATCAGTGTATGCTTTATACTGAATTTCAGGATTGGTAAGACCGTTGCCGATCGCAAAACCCTGATAAAGCAACCGGTTTATAAATTCAATAAAATGAATTGAAGAAAACGTGTTTAATCAGGGATAATATGTAATATAGGTCTACCTTAAGATTTATGTGGATTCCCTGCTTTTCCTTATTTCCTTGGTGAACTCTGGAGGCAAATGCAGGAATGTAGTGCCCGGCATAGGATTCGCCAGTGATGTAAAAGTCGTTTGCAGCAAATTCTTTATGTTCACTAAAAAATGCCTGCAAATAGTGTTAACAACCAATAGGAGAAGGGAAAAGAATTGTTAATCTTGAAGGATCTCTTGCCATAACACAATGTATAAAAATGATGTTATGCTAGATGAAGCTGAAGTGACACTGTCCTACCTGCAAGAAGTCATACAAGTCATTGCTAACGCCTTCTTCATCGTGACGAATGTCTTCATCGTCAGAAGTGTAACTGAAGCCAGTTCCAGTGGGCTGGTCAACATAAATAAGATTTGATGCCTGCATACATGGATGCAAAGGACCAAAATCAGACAAAGAAGCAAAAAAGTGTGATTCCAAATAAGGATGGTGAATCAGGAAATGACCTTATCCCAGCCATAGTCGTTCCAAACAAGAGACAAGTTGCTTGCAATTTGGAAAGGACCATTTTCATAGAACATAGCAAGCTCACTGCTGCACCCTGGCCCTCCTGTTAACCATATCACAACAGGGTCCTTCTTGCTGTTTCTTGATTCAAAAAATAAGTAGAACATCCTGTAGTATGAAGAAAATGAATCGGTCCTGTGAAACTCGACGAAAACCGAATATTTTGAAGGAAACTCGGAAATACAGACAGGGATCATGGATTCAAATAATGACCAACAAGTGAAAAGATTCCTTGATCCTTTTTCTTTCATTCAACAGGCTGTATATCCTTCACATGAATATACAAATTTCCCATAAACGTTCAACTAAGACTTAAGGGCCAACGCAAAGTGTCATGAAGAGTAATTCATTCACAACCAGCGTTACAAAAGATTTATAGTTGATTATAACAGGCAAGAACTGAATGCGAGATTAGTCAAACTAATCTTGTCCATATGCTCAATAACTTCTTTGTATCCCTAAAAAAACCATGGTGTTCTATTTCCTTTTCTTTGTTGAAATTTTCCTTATTGCATCTCATTATCAGATTTAGAATGAAGAAACAATTTAAAAAGTACGACATCTTATAAGATGAAGCAGGAGCAGTTGTAAACCTCTGATTGGAAATGTGCTTGATTACCTTGCTGATTTAGTATGAGGAAGAGGATAATATCCAGCATGGTGGCCAAGATCTTGAACTGATGGACCTTGACTTTTTCTTCCAATGAAAGGGAACTGAAAGCTTTTCTCGATGATCCCAGAAGACGAAAATGAAGGGTCTTCTGCTGCAATGTTAATGGAGTCCTTGGGAAACAAGTTAAGGTCTCTAATGAGTTTCTCTGCTTGAAGAATTGGATAGTTGATAGTTGAAGATATGATCGGTTGCTCTTTGTCTGGAGAAGTTGCAGATGCCAATGGTACAGCAAGGAGAAGAAGGAAAGAAAGATAACCATGAGAAAAAGAAGTTGCCATTTTTTGTGTTCAAGAAGGATATCTCTTCCAACTATGGTTGAGGGTATATATAAGATTCTGTCTAAAGCAGATGAATTACCTATTTTACTTGGCTGATAAGGCTAACACAAACTTGGAGTAAAGAATGTCCAAAGCTAGAGAGAGAGAGAGAGAGAACCTAGAGAGGGTGGGTGGGAATTGGAGAGAGGGAGACCTGCAGAAAGAAAAAGCAGAGTAAAGTTCAAAAGAAGTTATAGTCAATAAGCAAATACTTAAAAAGCAAGAGAGACAGCAAGAAAAGTAAGGAAAAAGTGAGTCCTAATATTTCAATCTTATTATCTTTGAAATATAACCAGATTTGATGTCTTATGTATGAGATGGAATCATAAAACAACCACAGTTCATGTCATCACAAGGTGAATAAGTAAAGCTGACGAGAAAATGGGAATCAAACAGGACAAGAATTCTATTATGCTTTTAAAATGATCAAAATGTTGAAATTATATATTAGAATTAGTGGCCTTTTCCAACCATCATCATCAAGAGCAAAAAGAGTGTGACAAGCAAAACTTGAGGTGCCTTAAAGGCTTGGCCAACGTGCGTCTTCATCTCTCCTCTCCACCTTTTCTTTTGCAAAAGAATATAATCAAATGCGTCTAAGATTGGGAACTCCACTAGCTACTTTATTGGTGTAACATTTCCTATTACCTCCATAGATCTCCTAATGATTCAATGATGCTCTATGTCATTGGTTCACTACAATAATTACAGCCTTAAAACATTTTTTTTTTTTTTTTCCAACATCTAATTGCCTGCAGGATCTGAATATGGACAATTTTGTCGGGTAAACAGTAACTGTGCCCACCAATTCCTAATACTTTATGGCAGAGTCCATTTTACTTTTTAGAGGAAAAGATGAATCACAATGAACGAAAGAAACACACTGCATTTACACAGATATAAGATGATAGAACGATGCTACATTTGCATTCTTTTAAGAAGAAGAAACAATATACATCAAACAGTTAATCCCCGCTCCACCCTGTCCCTATCTATTTGACAAATATACTCTCGGTTTTATGAATCTTGATTGAACAAACATGCACCGAAAGTATGTCACTCATTTTCTCTCTCACGAAATACCAGTAAAAAAGTAATGAAATGTTGAGGCTCAAACCGAGTTACGACCATTTTGACATTCTCAAGTGAAATTTCGAATTTATGATCTAACTTTTGCAAGCCGAGCCCTTATTTCTTCTAGTTCTTCCTCATCGTCAACACCCTCAGCTATTGCTTCTTCCTGCAAAGGAATAAATATGTCACGACGTTTTATTCTTTTCACATTCCCATGGTAGAACTAGACCAGGATTAAGTTTCACGAGTACTCAAAAATATGCATTATACCTCTCTCCGGACTTCCTGCACACGAGACGGTTGCTTCATTCTTTCCTTCCTGACAGCTTCTGGAAGCTGTGCAGCGGTCTCACCAGCGATGGCAGTCAAAACTTTGTCAACTTCCTCTTCTATCTCCTCTTCAATATCCTCAGAATCCAGTGCTGAATCCAACGCATCATTTACAATTTCCTCAATCACCCCAGCCTATAGACACCAGATATCAGTAACAGCTATATTAACGAGAGATTGTAGCACTGTCTAAGAAAACATACAAATTCAGTAGTGTTTGGCAAGTTAAACAGAGAACGAAGACTTGACAATAAGACTGCAAGCATCCTTTAAATACATGTTCACAAACGGAAGACAAGCATAAGGATTTATTGAAGTGTAGTATATAATGTATGGTTGTGTTCAAACTACCAAAATTCTTTTATAATTATAGCCTCTTTAAAAAGCTCTAGCATACATTCTTCAGGAGGAGCTTCCCTCTACACCGGCCCTTAGGTTGTTTCTTCTGTGTTAATCCAAAGTTATGGATGTTTCTTATTTATAAATCTACAGCAAAAAAAAAAAAAAAAAAAAAAAAAAAAAAAAAAAAAAA